CTCTGTATTCATGGCCTGGACCATGATGCCGCTAGGATCATCTCAGATGCAGGAAACACACCTCCCCATTAACCTCCCTCTCATGCACCTGGGGCAGAATCCAGGTCGCTCACTGGGTACAGTGGGAGCTTAGTGCTTCGACTCTGCTGCTGTGCTCCCCCCCGACCCTCACCCCACCAACGGCTCTGCCTCTCTTTCCTGATTTCTGCTTAGTTGTCCCTACTGTCTCCTTGGCCCTGGGCCACACAGCACAGATGCCAGGACCATGGCGAGGCTCTGCTCCTCAGGGCATATGGGCAGCCCAGGGCTGCCCTGAGGATACAGGGGCTTCTCAGGAGTCCCAGGTGACATCTGCCACATTGGGTGGCCCAGGAAACAGCACATGGCCCAGAGAGGATACGAGAGAGGGCAGCCAGCACTGAGCTGCCAGGGATCCCTAAGGTTTGTAGGGGTCAAGACCTCTCTACAGATTTCCTACCTCATCCAGCAGATCCACTTCCTGTAGGCCAACAGCTGATGTGCCCAAGAGGACCTGGGGTGACATAGCCCAGCCCTTGCAGCTCTGGGAAGGACTCGGCTCCTCTCCTCGCCCCTCAGAGCCAGGAAGCAGCCCCTGAGCCCGGAGTCACAGCACTGCTGAGGACCGAGCCCCAGAGGAGGCCCAGGCTTCGCACATCCCTGAGGAACCACAAGGCTTACCTTATCCTGGGTTCCTGTTCCAAACACCTGACACAAACACAGACACAGGTATATATACAACACACATATACACACACAGTGAACATATATGCATATAGATAAGGCACATCACACACATAGACACACACATAGACACAGATATACAGAGACACATATATGCATAATACACATATAGACACAGGCACATCACACATACAAATATATACACAGACACATGTACACAAAGTGCAATGCACATATGCAAATATAAACACGTTCACACACATACACATATATGCATCTATAGGACACACACATATGCAAGCACATGTATACACAGGTGCACATTCATGGAGACATACAATTCACACGTGCACTCACGTGTACATGATGCATATCCATGCACGCCTGCACAGATCCAAACACACAGCTTACTGACACAAAACACATGTACACAGTAACCATTCATATACACCTAGACAGAGGCACCTGTACGACACACACATTCATATACATACAAGAGAATAATCACACATATATACATTATCTAACACACACATACAGAAACACACCTACACACATACACATATACACACCCTTCCCAAAATAGAATATTCTTTATTAGAAATGAGGCCACAGAAGGGAGAACAGAGCATCTGTGGCAGCTCTTAACGCTCCTCCTATACCTCCCAACAGGTGCAAAAGCCACTGTCTCACAATGGCTCTAAGTGCCCAGCACCGGGGAAGCAGGCGTGTGACATCCCAATCTGTCATGAAAACCACATGGCGGGAGCTCTGTGGCCTCCTTGAGGTCCCAGGAGGGCACAGGGTCCCTGCAGTCTCCATGAACGTGGTGTCCAGGGTCGGTGCAGGCTGCAGTCTAGAGACATGGCACAGAACACCAGGGCAGGGCAAAGGGCTGTGCCAGCTCTTCCTCTGTGATGTGCCTAGCAGTGCCATCCTTTCCTCATATCCCTTTCCAGGCCAGACGGCAGTGACCAGGGACAGCAGGAAAGGGACAACGGTCCAGCTCGGTGCCAGCAGTGCAGGGGAGAATGTATTCACACACAGGATGTGGAGAGTCGCACCCAGGACGTGGGCTGCTGGGGCCTGTGCATGCACACCATGCCTGGGTGCCAGTTTGTGTCCAGGTGCCCACAGTTCAGGGCAAGAGGCTCCTGAGATGCTCTCAGTGTTGTCCTGGGCCTGTCTCCCATCACCAGAGTGCCCAGCAGCAGGGCACACAGCTAGTGGCTCTGGCACAGCCAGGCTCCCTCCACAGGCTGAGAGTGAGAGCAAAGGCACCTGCACAGCCAGAGCCGCCCCACACACAGCTGCTGCCCGGCCTCTCCACCTGCCCCTTGGGTGGGGAAGCTGAAGCCAGACAGGGAGAACAACTCAGCACCAGGGCCATCATCAGGGTCCCTGGCTGATGATCCAGCAGGTGTGCGGCCCCACATAGCCTCTGGATCCTTACATAACAAGAGACACGGTGGCCATGTCATTGCTGTAGCAGGGCCTGGGGCGGCAAGTCCAGAGATCAAGGGGCCAAGGGGCATGGGCCCCAAGAGTGCAAAGCCACGTGGACCGAAGCACGTGCCCTGGGCACCAGCACCAACCTCAGGGCAGGGACAAGGCTTTGGCCAGGCGGGTCCAGAACCAGGACTTGGTGCAGGGGTTGGTATAGTCGCACACGGTGATAAACCGCAGGATGCTGGGGAACTCCTTCTTCATGGCCTTGTACTTGATGGGGATCAGTCGCTTCTGATGGGCACCTGCCAGCCAAGGGAACAACACTGGCACCAGGCCCAGCCACCAGCCCAGGGGTCCCCTAAGACCTCTGCTGGATACACACACACACACACACACACCTGCAGCGCACACAGACCCTCAGGAGTGCCTGCCTGCTGGCATCCCAAGGCCCTGCTCACTAGTTCCAAGGGCCAGGCTCACCTGGAGAGAGGCTGAGAGCAAACTTTGTCTGGAAGTCACACTCCTTGCTCTGCAGGTAATCGTCAGAGACAACCACGACCATCCGGCGGCATCTAGAGTGAGGGACAGCGGGCAGGCTGTAGGTATGGGAGTGACAGCCTTGGCGGGGGAGTGGGGTCCCACTGTGCCCAGGCTGGACAGGGTCCAATGTCTGCCCCCTACCCCTACACACCTCTTTTCGATGAGCTCACTAGCGATGGACCAGACACAGGTGCCAGGCAGGACGTCGCGGTCAGACACACACAGCTTCAGGCGGTAGTTGGTCTGTTCCAGCTGCCGGATCATCTCCTGCACGAACTGCATGTCGCTGGGGCAGTAGCAGATGAAGGCATCAAAGCGCTCGGGCACCTGGCCTGGGGGGCAGGAAAAGGGCAAGGGAGGGCCTAAGGACCAAGGGAAGCTTGCAGGAGGAGCCAGCACCAGTAAGCTGCACCTGGGCCTCACACCCATCCCGAAAGGACATTGCTGAGAGCAGTAGCCTCCCCAGGACGGCCAGCAAGACTGCCCCGTGTGCATACACACATTTTTGCCCACGAGTCCCATGGCAGCTCAGGGAATGACATTCTGGTGATCGTCACTACTCAGGGCTCAGAAAGATGAAATTTGCCTGGGGTCTCCCTAGCTTTTCTTCCCCAAGATCCATGTTCTGAACTCCGCACTGAGCCATAGCCCACCAGTCCTGCCCGCCCTGGGGGGAACGTCCTTGGGCCCTTACCCAGGGGGTCATCCAGCGTGGTGATGCCTGCCAGCTCCGGCGTCCGTGGGACACTGCTGCCCACAACAGCCACCTGTAAGGGCTTTTCACTCTCCTCCTGTCGTTGCTTGTCTATATACTTCTGGCAGTCCTCCTCTGCGGGAAGAGACACGGGTGAGACAGACCCCAGTTCCATTGCTCAGGTCCACTTCCTCTGTCCTCACAGCCTCTGAGCCTTCTCTGGCTGCTGGTGGTAACCCTACTGCACAGCTACATGAAGCTGACTTCCCCATGGTCTGACTGCTGCAAAGCCACAGCAGTGGCTGTCTGGCCACTTGGGGTCCTGCTGACCCTTCTTCCTGGTCCCCATTGTTTGGAGTTCCTGGACCTGGAAGTAAGGCCACCTTGTGGAATCCAGGGTCCACATCAGTAAGCAAAAAGGGTTCAGACCCGCCAGTCCCTAGGTTGCAGAGCCAGCCACGTTCCCAGTCAGCACCGTGAGTCTGAGTGTGACTGTCCCCAAGTCTATGTGTGTCTGTCCCGTGACTGCTGGAGACTGCAGAGGCAGCTGTCCATCACCTGAAACAGCTCACAGCCCAGACAAGCCTGACGGCGTTAATGAGCCCAAGCAATGGCCCCAGCTTCTCTAAGGCGTCTCCTCTTTTCTCCAGTCCCCACGCCGTTCCAGTCCGTTGGAAAGAACACGGCCCAGGGCCTTCTGCCTCAGCACAACTCTGCAACGTCCCAGCAGAAAAACAGACCAGACGCTGCTCCCGCCCCCAAGCCCGGAAGGGGCGTCCTCACCGATGCTGGGGCGCAATTCGGTCAGCACGTCGTCCCTTCCCAGCTCGGCCAGCAGCTCTAGCAGGCGGCCCACCGAGGCGCCAGGGCGCCCCTGCCAGGCGTCCAACAGGCTGCCCGTGGGATCAGCGCGCGTCTCCAGCTGCCGGATCTCCAAGTACTCGAAGCCCATCTCTTCGGCCAGTGCGCTCCAATCGGCCGCCACCTGCGTGCGCACGTTCAGGAACAGCGCCAGACGGCGCCGCACGCGAACGTTGAGCGCTGCCAGGGGCAGGGAGGACATGGAGAGCACCGGGGCCTCGGAGCCTGGGTCGGGGCCTCGCGCAGCCATGGCTCGCCTGCCTGCTGTCGGGGTGCGGCGCCGACCGGCGCTTCCTCTTCCCGCGTGCGTTCTGCCCCGCCTGCCTGCGCTTTCCGAGAAGCCCCGCCCCTTGATGCTCAGTAGGACCGGGGGAGGTGCCCGGCCCTGTCTGGGAACACCAGTGAGACTCCGGAAACTGGGACTTTGAGTTGAGAAAACTGAAGCAGTCATAACCCTTCCAGTCGAGCTCGCGGTGTGCTGACCTCGAGGGTGGCGGTGTCTGGCACGGCGCGGCAGCCCTGTCCTGTGCAGGCTCTGCGCTCGGGACTTCGCCCTTTTCCTGGCCTCCCCGGATACTGTCCTCCCCACACTCCAACTCCCACCCCGGAATCGGTCTCCAGGGGCGGCTGAGCCTGCGGGGTGGTGGGGACTGGCTGTTACGGCCTTGCGGCTTAGGGCCAAGGCGGGAGCCCTGGCACTGGTCACTGACTGAGCAGAGGCGCACCGGCTCCCACCGGGCTCGCGGAGCGCGCCATCAGCCACTGAGTACCCAGTGCTGCGCGGGCTCCCGGACACAGAGCCCGCTCGCCCTACCGGAGATCTCAGCCACCCCAAACAGGTGTGGACGAATGGGAAGACGCTTGGGGCGCTCCTTGCCAGCTAAGTGTTGTCGCACCTGTTGCATCGCCGGCCGGGAGCCCCTGATCGCCTCGGGAAAGCCTCATTAGGCTGCGGTGCAACCTTGGGGACGCGGAGGTTCGAGGTCCCCGGGCAAGGTGCGGGGCAGGGCCGCTCCGAAGGGGCAGCGGAGGGAGCTCCCACCGCCTCCCGCTGCAGGGAGCTGACCCCGGCGGGGCGGCCGGCGGGCCGGGGCCCGGGGCGGATCCGCGATCCCTGGGCGGAGAGTTGCTGATCCGGGAAGGGCGGGCTTTGGGAAGGTCCGCTCCTGGGGCCGCAGGGGGGCGGGACTCCGGAGGAAAGCGCTTCCAGTGTGGGTTAGGGCGGGGTTTCAAACCTTCTGGCCTTCTCGTTGGTGGCAACAGGAAAGGCGGGACTTTGGGGGCGGATCGCGCCAATCAGAGGAGCTGCGGGTGGTGATTTGGGCTCCAGGTGGTGGTTCTGCGCCTGCGTCTGAGAGTTTTGAGTCCGGATGGAGGGTCCAGGAGCTGCAGGTGTTTCTGCCCGGCGGTCCCCCACGATGTGGCGGCTGCAGGTGGTGCTGGGCCACCTGAGCGGCCGGCCCGAGTTGAGACCCGCGCCGCAGGCCGCGCGGTGCCTGGGGGTCTCCCCACGCGCATCGGCCGGCGACGTGGTGGTGGTGCACGGGCGGCGCACGGCCATCGGCAAGGCGGGCCGCGGCGGCTTCAAGGTGAGACCCCCCGGGCCCGCGCCCCCTGAGTTCCCCGGGGCGAGCCCAGGAGGAAGGGCTCATGGCGGTTGTGCCTCCCTCGCAGGACACCACCCCTGACGAGCTCCTGTCGGCGGTAATGACCGCGGTGCTGCAGGACGTGAAGCTGCGGCCGGAGCAGCTGGGGGATATCTGCGTGGGTGAGCCCCGGACCCTCCCGCGTCTCTGCAGGGCCTGCCTCGCCCTGGCCAGCTGGAGCGGGCTCCGTGGGGGCTCCTGTACCCGCACCCCTGGGATGTCTCTGCGCGCCCTACACACCGCCTGTTAAGTGCTGCCCAGAGCCCTGGCTCTGGGACGCCGCTGTGCAGCAGAGAACTGAGAGGTGACCCTGTGGTCACTTCGGCCTCCTCTCCCCACCTGTAGCTCAGAGGGTCAGCAGTGTGCGATGCCAAGCACCCTCCTGGGCTGACCTTCTACAGGACAGTAGGCAGGGAGAGGGCACAAGGTGCCTGGGTGCCCTCACACACCCCTGTCCCTGACCTGCAGGACCCCTTCTGCGCAGTCAAGCTGTGCCTGCATCCCTCTGGGCCTCATCTGGGTGAAGGGTGCCATGGATGCTGATGGGCAGGGACCGAACAGGGCAGGTGCAGGCCCCGAACCGGGCAGGTGCAGGCCCAGGCCTAGCGTATGTGGGTGAAGGGTGCCAGTGGATGCTGATGGGCAGGGACCGAACAGGGCAGGTGCAGGCCCCGAACCAGGCAGGTACAGGCCCAGGCCCAGCGTATGTGGGTGAAGGGTGCCAGTGGGTGTTGACTGGCAGAGATGGGGCGATGTGGTTGAAGGCCCAGGACTGACTGATTTCCAACTGTGGTCCAAGTGAGGCTGAGGGCTTGGATCCTGAAAACATTCTGGATGGTCTCCCGTGGGAGTGCCTGGGAACCCTGCCAGGTGCTAAGCAGGGTTTGTCGTCCGCAGGGAACGTGCTGCAGCCTGGGGCTGGGGCAGTCATGGCCCGTATCGCGCAGTTCCTCAGGCAAGTCATCCTCCTCCAGCCTTGGTGTCCCATGGCACTGGGAGCACGTTCTGGGCTGGGGAAAAGGGGGTTGGACCTCCGCCCTGCTGGTACAGTGACCTGGGTACCTGCTCTGAGCAGCCGGCTTCCCCCTGCCAGAAAGACTTGTGTGGACACGCGAGTGCTCTGGCTGGATTCCCAGAGAAAGAATCGGCTACTTGTTGTCACCTGTGAGGGTGGACTGTGCCGTTGTCAGGGTGGCTGAGTGTGGGGGTTGGCATGTGGGTGCGGCAGGCCTAGCCCAATGGCACAGTTGTGCGGGCCTGCAGAACCCGGGCAGGGCCCGCCCCAGGAGCCCTGACAGTGCCATCTGTCAGCTCTAGCTGTCCCTGCTAGACTCCAATACAGCCAGGATTTCCACCTGTCGGCTTCAGAGCTGCTCACCTTTGTCCTACCTGCTGCATGGGGAGGACTGACAGGAGCGTTGCCCAATGACAGAAGTGGAAAACAAACTCTTGAGTCACTGGGAGGGGCTGCAGTCAAGTCACTGGCTGTCAGGGCTGCCCAAGTCCCACTGACCCTTCCCCTGTGGCCTCCACATCCTCTCTCCCAGCCTCTGTCCTGGCCGATTGTCCCCTTGCTGTGCTGTCCCTGCCCAGGCTCTGTCTCCTCCCGAGGCCCTGGGCTAAGAGGTCTGCCCCTCCAGTGGCTCAGCCAAGCTTGTGCTGTGTGTGTATTGAGCTTGCTGTTGGGCAGCAAAGCCCATCTCTGAGTTGCTTGGGCACCCTGAGCCTTCTCCTTGAGGCTTGGAGCCCATGGGTCCCAGGAGGCCTGGAAAGTTTCCCAGGGTTGCTGGCCAAGACTGGTGTCATGGTAGGGTCAGCCCTAGCACCTTCCCAGGTCAGTACGGTGGGAACCCAGGGTCTCCCAGTGCAGGATATGGGAGCATCGGTGTTCTCCCCACCACTGGAGCAGGCAGGCACATACAATAGGGAATGGGGGCACCAGGGTCTCCCCAGGGAGCATGGGGCTACCAGCTGACCCTACACCTCCCCTCTGTCATTCCTCACTAGTGGGATTTCCCAGGGTAGAGGGTAGCTGCCCTGGCCATTGGCTAAGGGGAGTTGAAGGTAGGACTGCTCTGCTGGGGATATTGGGGATGAGTCCCTGCCTAGATGGGACCTGATCCTGCTTGCAAACACTCATGCTGCTGGGACACAGGCTGCCAAGGGGCTTACCCCATCCATGCTCTCGCCCTTCCTGCAGCGGCATCCCAGAGACCGTGCCTCTGTGCACCATCAACAGACAGTGCTCGTCGGGCCTGCAGGCCCTGGCCACCATCGCTGGTGAGTCGCCCATGAAGGTACTTGTGCTGGGCCAGCAGGAAGGATCTGAGCGGCTTCCAGGGAAACAGCAGGGAGAGCCCCGGTGGACCCACACAGTGTCGGTGGCCAAGGATGCCAACGTGGCGCTCTTGTTGCAGGTGGTATCAGAAATGGGTCTTATGACATCGGCATGGCCTGTGGGTAAGCACCCCTGTCTGCATGGTCCCAGTCCCCACCTCTACCCTGGGATGGCACAACCAGCCTCACTCTGACTCCTGGCAGGAGGTCTCCACATAGGCACCTGGAGGCCCTAAGGAACAGCCTGGAGTTTCCCTCTGTCCCTGGGGACCTGTGATGCCTCCAAGTTGCTGTTTTGGGTCCTCAATGGCTCTGGCTGCTGACTTGTCTGTCCCATGTGGGGTTCCCCCTCCACCCTGAACATGGCTACCCCGGGGCTGCAGCCAGTGCCACCCAGGCCTTTGTGGCAATGGTGCAGGGCAGGGCAGGGCAGGTGCTGGCCTTGGGCCCAGGTGGACAGGGGCAGGGGCACGCACCAGGAGTGAACAGGCTGGGGTCGGGCTGTCCCCACCACCTTCTGACCTGTGCGCCCATCTCTATAGCCTCATTGCCCGCCCTTTGAGCACCCTTGGAAAGCAGCCAGAGACCAGAGTGGGGTGCTGAGGCTGGGCAAGGTCATTGCACACTCTTACCTTTGACCACTGTCCTGTCCCTGTCTAACTGGGGGAAAGGTGGCTGAACCACCCTGAGCATAGGAGCGGTCTGGCTCCCAGCAGGTCCAGGCATGGGGACCAGGATTGTGCAAGACCCAGCCAGGAGGCCTGTATGGCACAGGTGGTCCTTGCAAGCCATGGTGCTGGGAGTTTTAGCGGGCTCTGGGCCAGACTGTTTTGCGTGCACCCAGGCTGGGTGTACATGGACAGCTTACCCAGGCCTCTGTGTCCTCTTCTGTGAAATGGGGGTGCTGATGCAGCAGTGACAGCAGTGAAGGCCCTGGAGCATGTGTCATGCAGCTGACACCATCTGCTGCCCTCAAGCCCCTGAAGTGTGTCCCTGGAGCTAGCATTATCACAGGCACTTTTGTGATGTGTGTTACCCAGAGGCCTTGAGTCCCCACCCTGAGCCGTGTGACCATGTGGCCCTGGCTCCCAGACCCTCAGGCTCCGTACAGCTGCAGTTGCTGTCCAGCCTGAGCCCTGTGGTCGTTCCTCAAGTGTCTGTGCCCACTGGGTCAGGGTGTGTCCCCCAGGGCGGCTGGCACAAGGGATTTGCTGAGGCAATGCCCGGAGCTTGATTCCACGGCTCTGAGGGAAGCAGGCCCACTCTGAACTCTGTGGTCCAGGCAGTGCTGTGGTCCAGGCAGTGCTGTGTTCCAGGGGAGGCACCCTGCACCTGCTACTCCATCTGGCCAGCCAGGTCCTGCCCTACTGCCTTGGCTGCCCTAGCAAGTCCCCAGTGTGCAACTCTGCCTTGGTGTTGGGAGTTGGGAGCAGGGGGTGGGTGCTCTGCTGTGGCTCTGTGTCCTGTGGACTCTTCTCACCCATTGGCCACCCTCCTCACCCTCTTCCTCAGGGTGGAGTCCATGTCCATGGCTGAAAGAGTGAACCCTGGAAATATCACCTCGCGCCTGCTGGACAACGAGAAGGCCAGAGATTGCTTGATCCCCATGGGGTGAGCGCCTCCCTCACCACCCACACAAGGGCCCTCCCAGCTCCCTGCAGCATACACAGCCAAGCCTCGGCCTCCCTGCTCCGAGACTGCAGTGCTGAACACTGATGCCACCTTTGAACTCTTTGTCCTGGGCCCCAACCCTCTCTGAGCCAGTGAGCCCCATGCCCTTCCTGTTGCCCCCATGGAGAGCCCATCATGGACCTTGGCCACTGGAGCCTGGAGCCTGCAAGCCTGGGCGTGAAGCAGGAGGTGGGACATGTTGGTGACTGGGCCTGCTGGGGAGGACACAGGCCCTGCCAATAAGAGGGCTGAGTGCACTTTGTCCAGCGCTGGAGCTCTGTAGCCAGAGTCTCTCCTGGGGTGTCTGGCTGTGGGAGAAGGACATGGCAGTTACTGGCAAAGGGTCTGTGCCTTTTTTCCTCCCACATGCTGCCTGCTGGGAAGCAGGAGCCCCAGCTGTGGGTGCCCAGGCTGACCACCAGCCTCTCAGGGCTCACATGGGCTCCTCATCTCCTCTCGTTAGAGCAGCTTTGCTGGGCAACATCATCATTGTGTCCCCCAGGTCCTCCCTGTGTCATTGGCTTCTGTGCTGGGCTGGCATTTCCAGGGTCTCACCCTCTCCCAAGCTGGCTTCCCGCCCACAGCACTGCCCTTCCCACCGCTGTCTGTGCCCAGTCCTGCTGGCCTCCCTGCCCATAGTACTGCCTACTTCCTGCCTACAGCACTGCCCACTCCATCCATGCCTGGCTCTGCTGGCCTCCCTTCTTGCAGCAATGCCCACTCCCTGCCCATACCTGGCCCTGCTGGCCTCCCTACCCACAGCAGTTCCCAACCCTGTCCGTGCCCAATCCTGCTGGCCTCGCTGCCTGCAGTGTGGGAGGCCATGGGGCTCCTTGCCCAGTGCTCCAGCTAGCCCTGCCCCTAGCGTGTTCCACTGTCTTCCAGGATAACCTCGGAGAATGTGGCGGAGCGGTTTGGCATCTCCCGGGAGAAGCAGGACACCTTTGCGTTGGCATCGCAGCAGAATTGAGTGCTACTGGAGCTGAAGCTGCAGGATGGCAGGAGACTGTCCTGTGGACATTGTCCCTGAGATGACCCTGGTCGTGGCTGCTTTCCCAGCCTCTAGGGTGGGAAGTGGGAGGGACCGGGGCCCTAGGCCGGTGGGTCTGCCAGGCCAGGGTGCCATCTGCTCCCTGCCTTCTCCCCAGCTGGGCCTCACTGTCCCCATTTTCCTTAGGGACCTGATGAGCTCCAGGCCTCTTCCCTGCCTCCATACCTGGGTGATGGGATGAGGCTGTCACAGGCTTTTCTGGGAGCTGGATCAGGGGTAGCCATGTGGGGCACCCAGTTTGTGTCTGGGGTCACACCCCAAGGTGGGGTGCAGGGGGCAGGAACTGAAGGAAATCCCAGGAACTCGGGCCATCAGAAAGCCAGAGACTATTTTGGTCACTCAGGAACAGCAGGGAAACAAGTGGCATCCAGGCTAGATGGGCTTCCCCAAGGTAGGATTCTTGGCTGCTGCACCTTTGCTGGGAACCCTGGGTGCTTTCCCACTGGCTGCCCTGACACCTGCACTTGGCACCATTGCTGGCTCCCTAAGCACCTGGGTCCTTAGCCTGTTGCTGTGAGCTGTGCAACCAGTTCCCACGTCTGTCACCTTCAGTGTCTACGGGCTGGTACCAAGCCACAGGAAGGAAAGTGAAGCCAGCAGAACCCTGCACCACCTCCCCACTGGCTCAGTTCTTTTGGTCCAGGGTGAGGAACAGCTAGCCCTGCCAAGGCAACTGAAGGTGGGATTCAGGATGCAGTAAACCCAGGCAGGTGGATTTTAATGTGGGAATTCTGTCTGCCCCTGATATGAGTGTTTGTCCAAATCATCCTCAGCAGAAACAGGTGTTCCCTGCTTTCCTCCTTTCCTTGAGAGACAGGGGTGGCCATGACCCAGAGGTCCGGGCTGGTGCAAAGAGGATACAGGAAGGTGTGGCAGCCTCTCTCACCTACCAGACACACACAGCTTGGTCAGATCCCAAGGGAGTGGGAGGAAGCCCCAGGGAGCCTGAGCCGGCTGTCCTTGTGCTGTCAGAGCGGCCCGAGCCCAGAGCCGGGGATGCTTCCAATCCGAGATTGTACCAGTGACAACCACGGTGCAGGACGACAAGGGCGGCAAGAGGAGCATCACTGTGGCACAGGATGAGGGCATCCGCCCGGGCACCACCATGGAGGGCCTAGCCAAGCTGAAGCCTGCTTTCAAGGAGGGTGGCTCTACCACTGCCGGTGAGCCTGGGCAGGCCTCATGCCTTCCGGGAGGGTTATGCAGAGCTGGCAGGGCCCTTGCCCTGCCTGAGGATTCTGTCACCTCCATGTGTCCACAGGAAACTCAAGCCAGGTGAGCGATGGGGCGGCTGCTGTCCTACTGGCACGGAGATCCAAGGCTGAGGAACTGGGCCTCCCCATCCTGGGCGTTCTCAGGGCCTACGCTGTGGTAGGGGTCCCGCCTGACGTCATGGGCATTGGGCCTGCATATGCCATCCCTGCAGCTTTGCAACAAGCAGGTTAGGTGATGCTGTCATGGGCTAGGGTGGGACTGGCCCCTGGGTGGCATGGGGTCAGCAAGGGGATAGGAGGGCGAGTCCTGAGTGGGCCAGGAGTCAGACTCACTGGACGCTTGTGGTACCCCATATCTGTGCTGGGCCTCAGGGCCCTGGGAGTCCTGCTAAGGCCACTGGCAGCTGAAGTCTGTCCCTGGCCTGTAGGGCTGACCGTGAATGACGTGGACATCTTCGAAATCAATGAGGCCTTTGCCAGCCAGGTGAGTCTGCTGGCTGCGTTCCTGGCCCTGGGCTGTGGGAGCAAGGTGCAGGGCAGGGGGTGAGCGAGCGGGGTACAGGGCAGGGGTCTCCACTGACGCTTCGCCTCTTGCCAGGCCGTCTACTGTGTGGAGAAGCTGGGAATCCCCCTTGAGAAGGTGAACCCTCTGGGGGGTGCTGTGGCATTGGGCCACCCCCTGGGCTGCACAGGGGCGCGCCAGGTCGTCACACTGCTCAATGAGCTGAAGCGCCGAGGAAAGAGGTCAGGCTGTCACCCGGGGCTGCCTGCTGGTGGGGGGGGTGGGTAGGTGGACCTGTCTGTGGCTGGTGGCTCTGGCCTGGTGGCTCTGCCTTCTCTGTGTCCATGGGGTGTCTGTCCCTGCTGATCAGGGTGGCTCAGTAGCCCCACCAATGGTGCTTTGTGTCCACAGGGCCTACGGGGTGGTATCCATGTGCATTGGGACCGGAATGGGAGCTGCTGCCGTGTTTGAGTACCCCGGGTACTGAGTGAAGCCCAGACACATCCTGGTGCCTCCGCAGGGTGTGCCAGCCAGGGGGAGTGGTCCCCCAGGCATGGATGCCAAGTGCGAATCTGAAGGGTACCATGCAGCGATCAGCACTATGGATAAGGCACATCAGTCGAGCTGCCCAGGGACAACACCTTGTGGACAAGGGAGGCCATGGCTACAGTAAACGACATCCTCTGGGGGTGTGGCTTCCTTCCGGGCTGGTTTCTGCCTTCCTTCTGCGCCGTCCATCACAGTTCTGAGTTCCCAGCAGGCTATGCGGGCAGCCAGGTGACCTCTCCGTGAGACCCAGGTCCGCCACCCTGGCCCCAGCTCCCCACATGGTTCCTGCCCAGCAGCCCCAGCTCTTTGTCTGGTTAATGGCCTGGGCCTGAGCTGAGGCCCAGGCGAGCCTCAGGGCTGGAACGTGGTTGCAAATCTCTCATCATAAAAACCCTGGCTGCACATCTGCAGGTTCCAGGCCTTCTCCCCTAGCATTCACTGGTGCAGTTTGTAGCTCATGGGGGTGTGGAAGAAGTCAGGAGGGGCCCGGGCAGCAGCCACAGCCCCACGAGCGGCTCAAGAGGCCAGGAAGCTGTACCTGGCTGTGAAGAAGACCTGCAAGGTGGTGGCGGTCAGGGGGTCCACACCTCCTGCACCCTGCTGCTCAGGGACACCTCAAAGGCTCTTACATCCTTGGCCAGCTCCTGTTGCCCCGCACAGAGGAAACGGAACACACAGCATGGGGGCCATTATAGCCACAGCTGCACCCCCCCCATCTCGGCCCTGCCCCAGCTCTACCATGCACCCCGCTCAGCCCCACCTTGTCCCGAGCTCCCCCTTGTGATTATATGGGACTGGATGCTGGCTGTCCACAGGAATCAGGTGCCCAGTGGGGACAGAATCCAGGCACCCCTCCTGGAGGTCTCGGCCCCATGAGCAGGGGCAAAGTCTGGGGCCCTGGGACAGGCAGGTGCACTGCACAACACAGCGTACCCATCAGCACGGCCCAGTAGCTCCGGCAGCCACTCAGGTTCATCAGGTTGACTTCCCGGGCATGCCGCTGGCCCATGAAGCACATCCCAAAGTCCAGCCAGCTGTTGGACAGCTGCAGGTTGGGCACAGCCACCATGGCCCGCAGGGACACCTCTTGGGGACAGAGTCTTGACCTTGGCAGGGGGCTCTGAGCTCCACCCCTAGCCCTGGGTGCCCTGCTTCCTCTGGGAAGAGCAGGGTGACCCCAGTCTCTGCCATCACCATCCTCAGCCAGGGGTGGGGCCTGTGCTCAGTCTGCAGTCTGCCCCTTCCCCACAGCCAATCAGCACTGTGTGGTGCCAGGCTCACCTCCTCCCTGCTCTTCCTTCCCCAGGCCCAGGCCCTGCCCTGCCTCTATCCCTAGCCACCTCTCACTGCCAGGAGCACCCTCTTTGGCACCTCTCACTCCTTAGCCCTGCAGCTGCCCAGGGGCCACTGCTGAACCTCCAGCCCCAGTGGGCACCTGCTCTGATCTCTGTGGTCACTGTGCACCTGACCCATGTGGCCACCATGGTTCACTATCTCTAGTGCTCTGTGTCTATATGTCTTCAGGCCTCTCCCTGAACACTCAGTGTGGTTTCCCTCTTTCCTCCCAGGGCCCCCTGGATTTCCCTGAGCCCCAGCACACTGCCTGGCTCTGAGACCCTCCTCTGACAGCACTGGCCTCTTCCAGGGAGGTGGTGCTCAGGCACTGGGGGAGAGCCTTGTCCTTGGCTCCATTCCTCCTCCCCCTCCATACCTCCACCCAACTGGACACTGTGGGAGGGCCTTGTCCTTGGCTCTGCCCTCCCCCACCATCCCTCTGGCCGCCTGGACACTGGCCTGAGCAGTCTGCTTGCTGTACTCCAGGCGCAGGCTCTGTGTGAACACCATTTCTTGCTCCCCACGTGCGCTGTGCATGATGTCCACCCCGGGCAGCATCTGGTCAGCTGGGAGCTTCTGATAGGACAGCAGCTCCAGAGACAGTGAGAAGCACAGGTGCACCTGGGCAGCCACAGACACTGTCATCAGGGTGGCCCATGGAGACAGCCTTCCCCCACCCCAACCTCCATCCTCCTCTCCCCAGGTCCGGCCCAGCAGCAGCCTGGCCCAGCAGCAGCCTGCGGCACCCCTGCCTGGGCAGTTGTCCCACAGTCACTGTCCAGTGCCTTCTCTGTCAATGCTGGGACTGGTACACCTGCCCCGAGCATCAGGGATGGGGGAAGTGGGACAGGGACCACGTGGGCGCTGACATCCTGGGCTGTGGTCAGGAGCTGCAGGTTTATAGTCAGGTGACAGTGAATCAACTCCCCCCCACCCCACACACACACGAGGTCATGGTGGCTGCCATGGGGAGAGGCAGAAACCATTATTCTGGGCTGAGATGTGGGTACAAGGACGAGGGGAAGGGGGAAGTGTTGAAAAACATTCAAAGGGGCACCCCTGAGGCTTGGTAGCTGGGGAGAAACAGACTGAGTACAAGGCACTTGCTAAGATGCCCAAGCGAGAGGAGGCATGACTGGACAGCCCAATGTGGCCAGCAATAAGGATTCGGCATGGATAGTACAAGTTGTGGCAGAGAATTCTTGCCAGGATCCAGATGCCTGGGCCTTGCCAAGTGGCTTTTGTCTGGTAGCCTTTCAGCCTCCCTAGAGTTGCCTAGCATTTTTTTAAATGTAATGATTTATTTGTGTGTTCATTTGAATGCAGAATGAATAAAGAGAGGGAGAGATGAGAGAGAGGATATCTTCCACCAAACTCACATACTTGGGCCACCACCGCCTGCCTCCCAGGCACATTCACAGGAAGACAGACTGAAATGGCGCAGCCAGGATTCCAAATGATCCTCCAGTATGGAATGGGGGCATCCCAAGGAGCGGCGCCTTAACCCTCTACGCTGCAAGACTGGCCCTGCCTAGGGGTTTCAGGGCAGCTGGTGGCTAGGCGTGGAGGTCTCTGGGCCTGCGCACTGGCCCTGCCTCTGTTCAGCTCCCTGAAGAAGAGAGTAAAGAAGCTGGTGCAGAGTGTGGCCAGGTTCCCCCTGCTGTCACAGGCAGCTCTATGCCTTTCTGTGAGCTGGGCTGAAGGGAGGGCATGGCACCTGGCACCACAGACTGGGAGAACACATTTTAGAGCATTGGTGCTGCCCGAGGCTCTGGCAGTGGCCTTGCTGGAGGATGTGAGCATGGAGTAGAGGACAAGGGGAGGCAAGGAAGGGTTGTGCACATGCCCTGGGCTCATGCAGGTGCAAGGAGCTCCTTTGCACATGAGGACGATGACCCACCCTCATTCCAGAGCCACAGGGGAAGGGAATTGATGGTACCCTCTAGGCCCTTCTGCTCTGAGGACGCCCTGGCTCCCAACCAGCACTGACACTCCAGGTCCCTCAGAAGAGAGAAAATCCCTGGGCTCACCTGCACTAGGGCAGGGGAAAAGAGGAACTGTCTATGCCCCGGAAAGTGCACAGCTCTCCCTGGGTACCAGCCCTGGGACCCAGCTGCAGGCCAGTGCACACACATGTATATTACACTTGGACCCCTAACCCTGTCACTCCCATGGGATTGGAGAGTAGGAAGAGCAGTGGTGCAACCTGATGGGGAACCTCAGAGAGGCCCCCCTGAGTCTTAGGGGGCCCAAAGTCTGCTCTCCCCAGCAAGGGGTCAGCCTGTTCCCTCCAGAATTGGCCTCGCAGGGCACCTGTGTTTATTCCTGCCCCAAACATGGGAAGAGCCCTGAACCCCAACGGCCATGCCCCGCTGCACCATGGGAATAGAATGCCCATCCCGGGACCACAGCCAGCCTGCCCTGAAGCCTCCCTGACCCATTATGACACCAAGCCCCAGCCTCGCCCCACCCCCACCCTAGTCACCAAGGGAACCTACGGATTCCGCCTCCAGTATCTGACTGGGGTCTGGACCGTGGACAGGACAACACTGACATTGGCTTGTGGCTTTGGCTTCAGGTAAAAGGGAGTGGAAGGGCAGCAGGAGCGGTCCGGGAAGGGAGCAAATCTTGAGTGCACAGGCTGGCCGGCAGGGGACTCCCCTCCCTTGGGGAAGGCCTGAACGCTCTCCTTTGGCTGCCCCAGGCTCCTCTCCCCCCACGTGCTGAGAGCCTGCTGCCTGGCATTGGCACCCACCAGGGTATTCACTCCCATGACTCTGCTGCTGGACACTGACCTGGAAGCCAGTGACCATCGCCCCCCTCTCTCCCGTTAGTGTCGACCACTTGAAAAAAAGGAAATACCAGCCAAGTACAAACGGACCTTTATTATGCAAAGAGAAGTCTGTTCCTGGACCTTTTCCTGAGCAGTGGAGGAATAAACAGGAGAGAAGAGGACCACCAGTGGGAAAGACAAGCCGGGTAGCTGAGACAAAGGTTTCATACCCCCTCTGCCATGGGTGCTGGCATCAGCCCTGCTTGGGTCCCGACAGGACAGGGAATGTTAGCCTTTGCCCATGATTGGCCCGTATGTGGCCTTGGCTGCCTTCGGGGTTTGCCAGATCTCTGGCTGAGGTCACTTCGGTGTCCACCCTCTTTCTGTAACCGCAGTAACCATCATTGTGTCCTGCTTTGTATGAATGCTTGTCTGCTCGGGTTTTTCCCATGCTTCTCCTTCTGGCCTCCACGTCCTTGTGCCGCAGCGCACGTTCTGCTGGTGGCCGGCTTGGCATTTAACCACTGGAGAGGGTCAACTTGCATGACAGACACGAATAGGATGATATATGCTGGGCAAAGTGGAACATCCTAGCCACCCTGTATAAAAACACCTTTTTCAATTGATTTTTCAAAAGCTCCATCCATGTGTGGGATGCACCCACATATGGTAATTAACTAGGGGTCATCTTAGTAAGTTCAGCTCATTTTGTGATTGTATTGCAATCCATTTCCTTTCTGTCCTTTTTCCTTGACTGTTCTGAGTGGGCTTTTGTTTTCATATTCACTTATTCTTCCAGACTGTTGGCCTCTCTTCTGCATTTCAGCTGGATGAAGTGCCCAGTTGACTCTTTGCCAAGGCCCCCCAAAATGTCTGCTTTCCTGATTCATCTTTGCTTTGTTAAAATTATATTTATTTTTTCTGAAAGGTAGCATCATACAGAGAATAGGAGAGACAGAGAGCTTCTGTCTACTGGGTCCCTTCCCCAAGTGACCACCACAGGCTGAGCTGGGCCAAGCTGAAACCAGGAGCCAGGAGCTTCATCCTGGTGTCTCATGTTAGTGACAGGAGCTCAAGCACTGGACCATCTGTCACAGCCTTACAGGTACACTAGCATGGAATTGCATTGGAGGTGGGGCAGCCAGGACTCAAACTGGAGGCTCCAGTATGGGATGCTGGCAATGCCAGTTTCAGCTTAGCCCACAGTGCCATGGTACCAGCCCATCAATCTCACTGTGCATTCCTCTCATGCTTAAAGCTCTCTTCCATGCCCCATCCTGCCATAGCAGTGCCGAATGGCTGCTGACAGCCCCAGCATCTGCACATAACCCTGGTTGATTGCTCTGGGCTCCGCTGATTCCAAGTGGGGACTGGATCGCCGCTCTGAGGTTCTAGTCTTCTTGGCTTACTGTTAACCTGGGAGAGTCTCAATGCAGGGAAATCTCCATCAGAGAAGGCAGCTTCTGGTTGGAAGTCATAGGGGGTCCCAGCCCTGGGTCTCTTCAGCCCCGCAGAGGCTCTCAAAGCAGGCTCCTCAGCTTACTTTGCTCTCCCTGCTGCTGTTCCCCCAGCCATGTCCTTGTGATCAACACAACTTCCTCCTGCCCTCGCCTGACCCTGAAGTGTGTCTGCTGAGCTGGCATCTATTGGCCACCGGGCCAGGAGCCGTGTACCCAAGCCTGAGCATGCAAGCCGCCTACCTGGACCCCAATCCTGGCCATTCTTGATTCAGGCGTGTGGGGGGGTGCTTTACCCATTTCTGCCTCAATTTCACTATAGACCAAGTCCCCATTGCCAGGTAACTTTTTTTTTTTTTTTTAGATTTATTTATTTATTGGAAAGTCAGATATACAGAGAAGAGGAGAGACAGAGAGGAAGATCTTCCATCTGATGAGTCACTCCCCAAGTGAGCGCAACGGCCGATCCAAAGCCAGGATCCAGGAACTTCTTCCGGGTCTCCCATGCGGGTGCAGGGTCCCAAGGCTTTGGACCATCCTCAACTGCTTTCCCAGGCCACAAGCAGGGAGCTGGATGGGAATTGGAGCTGCAAGGATTGGAACCGGCGACCATATGGGAACCCCGGGCATCCTAGAGGACTTTAGCCTCTAGGCCATGCCTCCAAGCCCGCCAGGTGACTTCTGAGCGGGCTTAGGCATCACTTTGGACCGCAGAGCACAGTGCCTTGTATAAAAGTCCAAGTCTTCACTGTACTAAACATGGGGGTTTGCTAGGCCACCAGGCACATCTAATGAAGTGAAGGAGGGGACTGCCCAGGAGGCAGGAAGCCATCCCCTCTTTTCTGGTCAGTGGTACCCCACCTCCCCGACCCCAGGAAGTGGCATCCCAGAGATCATGAGCTGAGGCCTTTCTCCGAACAGATGGCAGAAGGAGAGACATCCAAGACAGATTTCAGGGGCAGCAATGTGGCAGAAGTGCCTGGGCACCCCCTAGTGATGCTGCTTCGCCGACTGGAGGCCATGGACAGCTGGCACGAAGATAAGCTCACTAACATCCTGAGTGCCGTGGGCAAGTTTGGCACCTTCCAGAGGCAGCTGGTGGCCCTGACCTTCATTCCCAATATCCTGTCAGCCTTCTTCTTGTTTCCTGACCAGTACATGCTCACAGACCCCAAGCCCTACTGTAACACCAGCTGGATCCTGGCCGTGGGCCCCAACCTCTCGGAGGCCGAGCAACTGAACCTCACCCTGCCCCGGGCGCCCGACGGTGGCTTCCTGACATGCCTCATGTACCTGCCCGTGCCCTGGGACCTGGATGCCATCATCCAGTTTGGCCTCAACCACACGAGCTCTTGCCAAAATGGTTGGATCTACCCTGAAGCCGAGAAGCGGTCGCTGATCAATGAGGTATGCCTTGGCTGTGCTTCAGCTGGGAGAGAGAACAGAGCAGACCAATCCACCTGTCAGGGATGTGGCCAGGGCACAGCCTTGCAGGCAAGGGCAGGTTCCCACTGACTGTCCATCTGCCCTGTCCATCGACCTTGGGGTGCTTGTAAAGGAGGGGGCAGATCTAGGGTGGCACAGTTAGCACCTGTCTCCCATAATGGTGACTCCACCCTCAGAAGAGGCCTCCATACTGTAGTAGGGCAGACTGTGTCACACAGACACACATGGGTTGAAGGCTGGGGCCAGGCCTCCGCATCTGCAGGTGCAGGAAGCAGTCTTGGGGTGATTCCTACCTTTGTTGCATGCCCTCCCCTTGGGGTCCCCAGAGCTGACGCAGGGTCCTGACCCATGTCTGACTCCTCTCTGCCCAGTTTGACCTGGTGTGTGGCAAAGAGCCCGACAAGTGGACAGTGCAGATGGTGGTCCTGGTAGGCCTCCTCATTGGCGCTCTCGTCTTCGGCTTCTTGGGCGACAGGTGAGTGAGTGCCGGGTCCTCTGGTCCCTGGCTCAGCAACGCCCCACCTCCTCCCCTGTAGCTGCTGCTGCTGCCTCCTGCACTATATGGGCCAGCAGAGCCATGCCCGGCCTCATACACTCCCCTGGGCACTGCAGGCTGGGCCGCTACCCCACCATGGTGCTGTCACTGGTGGGCTTCATCGGCTTTGGCTTCGGGACCGCCTTCGTGAGCAATTTCTACCTGTACCTTTTCTTCCGCTTTGGCGTCTCGCAGGCCGTGGTGGGATATGCCATCAGCAGCGTGACTTTAGGTAAGGTAGGAGCCCTGCCAGCAGACAGAGGGGCATGCTGGAGAACCCAGGCTCCCCCTGCCCTCCCACCCCTAACCTGTGCCCTAGCTCCTCAGTGCCCCCCCACCCAAGCCCATCTCCTGCACCCCAGGGCCTTTTTTTTGTCTTCCATACAAAGTCTTATCTCACCTCCTGACCCCGTCAATGGGTGAATGGATACCAGGCCTTGAGCTGGGTCTCAGAGATGTCAGCCAACCTGCTCAGGGTTACATGGTGACCAAGCAGGGAGCTAATACTTCATCTGCCAGCATCAGCCAATGGGGTCAGGGGAGACCTGGCTGAAGATGTTTTCTCTCTGCGAACTGGCCTGAGGCTGGCCAGAGATGCTGGTCACCTGAAGCACCTGTGGGATGATGTGCTGAAAGATCAGGCTTACTTGGACTGATTCTCAGACCTCAAGCAGTGGCCTGAGGGGGCCTGAGGAGGCTGTGTTTGTGACAGGGCAGATGCAGAGCACAGAGCCTCCTGGCTCCCAACCCAGTCTGCCCCTCCAGAACAGGGCACAGGTATCCCAGAAAGACTGCCCTCGGATCCTCCCCTCCTACCCAGCCCTCATGGAGCTTGTTCAGCTGACCGTTTCTGTTCCCTTGGCCTCTTGGCAGTGACCGAGTGGCTGGTGGGCGAGCACCGGGCCCATGCCGTGGTCCTGGAACACTGCTTTTTCACGATGGGGACCGTCCTCCTGACGGGGCTGGCACACAGCATCCCCCACTGGCGGCTCTTCTTCCTGATGGCTGGGGTGCCCATGTTCCCCCTCATCTCCTGCTTCTGGTGAGTGGCAGTCTCACTGGGGTGCAAACATGGCAGTCGGGGGTGGGGGTGGGGAACTGTGAGAAGGTCAGTGTGTGGGACAGCCCACACGGAGTCGCTGGGCTTGCACGAGAAAGATCTCTGAGCCGCTGTGTGTGCAAGATCCCATGCTGCTCCATCCATCACATGGTTGTTACATTCAGGCTCCGTAATCCTTTTAGGGGTTGGACTCCAGTGAACACAGACTGAGCAAAGGGCGGGGAGAACCGAGGCCCGTGAGGGTGGAAATGCCCGGCACAGAAGCAGGGGAGGTGGGCGTGGCCTGTTGTAGCCCAAGCGCCCCTGCGTTGTACTCATTCTGTGGATATAAGATATGGAGCTGATAGCGGCCTTGGGGTTCTGCTTGTGATGCCGTCAGTGTCCCATATCCAGGTGCGGGTTCAAGTTCTGACTGCTCCACTTACAATCCAGCTCTCTGCTAAGCACCTGGAAGGCAGCAGAGGATGGCCCCAGTGCCTGGGCTCCTGCACCCACATGAGAGACCCGAATGGAGTTTCTGGCTTCTGGTTTGGCTTAGCTCAGATTTGGCTGTTCCAACCATTTGGGCATAGAACCAGCAGCAGATGGAAGCTATCGTTCATATATATCAGTGAGAGGGTGAGCATCCAGGGCACTTGGAGAGCTTCCAGATTTGCAACTTCATGGCTATGAGAGAGCAGCTTTGCTTTATGTAAACCCCATCCCCGCTAAAAAGCAAATGGCTGGAAACTGGATAATACCCAGGGGGGGTGTGAAAGCAAGCAGCTGATTTCTGCTTCCCAGCCCAGTCTCCTCCCTGAGGCCAGTCATGGGCCCATCCCAGGAGCAGCATCTTCTGGGATCGCCAGCCCTTGAGCAGGTGGAGCACTTAGCTGCCACACTGGCTGTGTCCCATCATTCATGGTTGCCCTGACACTTGGCAAGTTTCGGCCAGTGTCTGACTTTGGTCGGTCAGCATTCATCTTCTGGTGCCCATTTTGACTCTGAGCCAGTGAAAAGATCCAGTGCATTCCAACTTACAGCCCCTGGGGCTGACCTGATCCGAGAGTGGCAGAAGGGGCCAGGGGCCAGGCTAGGGAGGGCAGCAAGGTCTCCAAAGTCTCATGGTCTAGCTGTTGTGTGCTCTGTCATTTCCTCCCTCTTGGTCTTCTGAGCCCTGCCTTGCAAGAATCCTCAGCCTCGTACTCGTACTCAACAGGTTGGTCCTCTGTTTTCCAATGCCAGCATCCCATGTGAGCACTGGTACATGTCCCGGCTGCTCTGCTTTCAATCCAGTGGGAGAGCAGTGGAGGATGGCTCAAGTCCTTGGGACCCTGCACCCACATGGAAGACCTGGAGGAACTTCCTGGCTTATGGCTTCAGATCAGCTCAGCTCTGACTGTTGCAGCCATTTGGGGAATGAACCAACAGATGGCAGATCTTCCTGTCTCCTTTCCTCTGTAGGTCTACCTATTTATTTATTTTTATTGTAAAGTCAGATATGCAGAGAGGAGGAAAAACAGAGAATATCTTCTGTGCATTGATTCACTCCCCAAGCGGCCGCAGTGGCCAGAGCTGAGCCAATACGAAGCCAGGAACCAGGAGCTTCTTTCAGGTCTCCCATGCAGGTGCAGGATCCCAAGGCTTTGGGCCATCCTCAACTGCTTTCCCAGGCCACAAGCAGGGAGCTGGATGAGAGGTGGGGCTGCCAGGATTAGAACCAGTGCCCATATAGGAGCCTGGCACATGCAAGACGAGGACTTTAGTCACTAGGTTACCGTGCCAGACCCATAAGTGAATCTTTGAAAGCGTTTACAGGGCCTGGCGCTGTGGCCTAGTGGCTAAAGTCCTCGCCTTGAACGCCCCGGGATCCCATATGGGCACTGGTTCTAGTCCTGGTGGCCCCACTTCCCATCCAGCTCCCTGCTTGTGGCCTGGGAAAGCAGTCGAGGACGGCCCAAAGCCTTGGGACCCTGCCCCCGGGTGGGAGACCTGGAGGAAGTTCTTGACTCCTGGCTTCGGGTCAGTGTAGCATCAGCTGTTGCGGTCAATTGGGGGGCAAACCATTGGATGGAAGATTTTCCTCTCTGTATATATCTGACTTTGCAAAAAGAATGAAATAAATCTTTTTTAAAAAGAAGCGTTATAACAATTGGGCCACCGCGCCAGGCCTTGATTTTTTTTTTTCTTTTCATAAGATTTAATTTGATTTGAAAACCAGAATTACAGAGCTGATCGGGGTTGAGAAGGAGGGAGAAAAAGAGAGAGATCTTCCACCTATTGTTTCATTCCCTAAATGATCACAATGGGTGTGAAGGAGCCCACATGGGATGCCACCACTGCAGGCAGCAGCATTACACACTATACCACAATGCAGGTCCCAATCACTTTCTTTAGGAGACTCTCACAGCCTTGCTGTGGCAAAGGAGGGAGAGCAGGAATAAAGTGCTGTCTGATGACTGTGCTCACGCAACCAGCCGGAGCTGCAGCTGGCACCATTGACCATTGACCAATGGTCAGTACAGTGTCTTGTCAGAAGGAAGTGGTGGCAGTGGTGGTCCAACTTACAGCAGCTCTGTTGCTGTGACTTAGTCCCCGAGGTTGGGACTAAAATGGTAAAAATCCTATGTTGCTTTCTGCTGAGTGGGGGACGCTGGCTGACAGTGGCAGGGGCAGCCAGCACAACAGCTGGCACGTGGCCCATATGGATGTGACTGGGAGAAAGCTGGAGGCAGCCCGGGCCTGAGGCAGACGGGAAGAAGCCCCTGGCTTCTTCCCCTGGCACACTACAGTCTGTTCAGAGCTGGAGAGGGGGCCAGGGTGACCAGCACTGTGAGAAAGAAGGGCTCTGGTGCCAGGGTGGGCACCGAGGAAGGAGCACCTATCTCCGAGAAGAGCGCAAAAGGCAGGGATGGGCAGGCGGGCTTGCTCAGGCTGCTGCAGGAGTGGGAGGTCCTGGCTGACAATCTCCTGGCGAGAGAACATGAGCACAGGGTGGTCCTTGCAGGGTCCTGCCCAAGTCGCCTCGCTGGCTGATGGTGAAGGGCAAGGGGAAAGAGGCCAAGCAGGTGCTGTGCCACGCGGCTGCCTTGAACCGGAAAGCCATTCCCTTGGGCCTGCTGGAGGAGGTAAGTGGGCTTCCCCAGGAGGAGGCCAAGGCCGTGAGGGAAACCTAGGGTGGCGGAAAGCGGGGAGGAGCTCATGGAGGTGGTCTGGAGGGCGGGGAACAAGATGGAGTCTGGCCCGTGTCTCCGGCTGCTCCTACCATTGCAGCTGCCAGAAAGGAAGGTGGCGAAGGGATCTGTCCTGGACTTCTACAGAAACAGACACCTCTGCAAGATGATTCTGGTGCTGAGTTGTATGTGGTGAGCTTCCGCTGGTGGGGCGGGCTGGGGTGGGGCTGCAAGTGGGGCGTCCGGGCTGCAGGTGGAAGCAGACCTGGGCCTCCAGGGGCGTGGTCTGGGGGTTTGCTCCTCATCTTCCTTCCTGTGTGTGTGTGTGTGTGTGTGTGTGTGTGTGCGCGCGCGCGCTCATTGGCTCCGTTTCAGGTTCTGCATCAGCTACAGCTACCTCACGCTGAGCCTCAAGATCACAGAGTTCGACATGAGCTTCTACATCCAGCAGGTGATCCCCGGCCTCATGGAGGTGCCGGCTCGGCTGTGTAGCATCTTCCTCCTGGAGCAGGTCGGCAGGAAGTGGAGCCTGGCAATGACTCTGCTTCAAGCGAGCATCTTGTCTTTGCTCCTCATCTTCTTGCCCCAAGGTACTGCCGCCCTCCCCCTTCGCTGAAGGGCTGTCACAGCTTCTTCCTCACTTCCTCAGACCCTGGCCTGGCCAGCCAGGAGTCGGCTCCACCCCCAGCCCCGACTCTGCAGCAGCCTTGGCTCCTCCACTCAGGACACAGCCCCACAGTCCTCCCGTTTCCACCTAATTCCCTTGGATCTGTGCCTTAAGGTAGAGAGCTGGCAGAAAAGCCACTCCAGCTGCCGGGAAATGTGTGCTGTGACTGTCACATGACAATGCCTACAAGAAGGTCTCAGGTCCAGCTCCTCCGGCTGAGTACCAGGGAGGGCAGCAGGGAAGAGCCAGCAATAATCACAGAGTGTCGAGGACTGCTGGACAATGACCCTGCCCAAGGCCGCAGGGGTGTGGTCAGCATCCTACGGTCCCCAAGGGGTACCCACAGGGACTTTCATCTCCCAGAGTGTAGCAATGCTGATGGCCTGGAATCATCAATTTCAATCGATTTGCAGCTTTAAAAAAAAAAAGTAGGCCTAGACTGAACCAAGAACTGTTTAAAACGCTCAGACTTGTTGGAGAAACTGGGCACAGAATCTCCAGAGTAAACTAGAGCCATGGGATCTGGGACATGAGCCAGGCTGGGGCAGTGTACGGTAGATAGCCCACACGGGGGCGCTCCCGGGCTAGCTGTGCCTGGAGACTGGTTTCCAAGGCTGATCTGGGCTGCTCAGTCAGGTGTGGTGGGATGCTTCCAGCCAGCCTCTCCCTGCAGAGCCCTGAGCTGAGATCCAGGCCCAGGATGCAGCCTGGTGCTGAGTGGAGGCCCAGGGAGGAGTGGGCAGCTGGGGTGGGGGAGCTATAGCTGGAGAACGGAATACAGACAAGGCAGAGAGCGCCCCCTATCAACAGAGATGTGGGGGCCGCGGCCAGCACGTGCAGATGGGATTCAGTGAGACTGAACAGGTGGAGGGGACAGACTAAGCAGATGATCTGGATGGGATGGGGGGCAGTTGACAGAGGGCAGGAAGACCCCAGGCTAAGGGGGCTTGCTATGCTGTGTGGCTGCAGAACTCAAGTCCCTGAGGGCGTTGGTCATCGTGCTTGGAGAGTTCAGCCTGGCAGCCACCATCACCGTGTTCTTCCTCCACACTGCCGAGATCCTCCCCACGGTCCTCAGGTACGGCTTGAGCACAGGGCCTCACCTGGCAGCATCAGGACCCAAGCAGCCTGACTCAGGCCCTTCCCCCCTCTGAGGCTGCAGCCTACCTGTCTTTATCCTACACATCCACACACCGTGTGCCTGGGAGGCTATGTGCACCACAGGCCTCTGGTGATGGTAAGATGTGCCTGCCCTGTTAAAGCAAGCAGAGTCAGGTTTATTGATGATATGGTGAGAAAGCAGCAGGTGAGACAGCCGGATGCTAAGGATCTGTTGCAACCCTCACTGTGCAGGTCCGAAGTATTCCTTGTAACTGCAGTGTCTTCTTAGTTAGGATGCGTTTCTTTCCCATGATCCTATAGGTGTTTCCAGGTAGGTCATTTGCATTTCTTGACAGAGTTGAGGAGCCTCCACTATCCTCTCAGCTTTGGGACTTACCCAATACCCCCAGGTGACCCTTTATGCCACCTACCTTGTTCTGTCCACCCATCCTCCATTTTATATGAAAGATAAGATTGGGGGAGAAATAGAGAGCTTTTATCTAGTGAAGGCTTACAGCAGTCAGAGCTTGGACCAGCTGAAGCCAGGAGCCGGACACTCCAGTTGGGTCTCCAGCATGGGTGGCAGGGGCCCCAAACACCATTGCATGTAGGATGTGCGCTGGCAGGAAGTGGATGCAAAGTGGAATGGCTGGGACTTGAACCAGGTACTCGCCCCTCCTCTGCAGGGCAACGGGCCTCGGGCTGGTGTGCTTGGCTTCCACGGTTGGAGCCATCTTGTCCTTGAATGTCAACAACCAGATATCCTCCACCCTGACCATGTTCCTCTGTTGCCTTGCGTGTGCCCTGGCTCTCTGCTTGGCCTCGCTGCTGCGGGAGACCCAGAACCAGCCCCTCTGTGACAACCTGCAGCACTTCTGGCAGACCAGGTGGGTGTGCCCTGAACACTGTGCCTTTGCCAGAAGGGCCATGGAGCCAGGGCCACCCCAAACCCCACCCTACCTGGCCCTGCTGACCTTGCCTGGCCCATGGGGTTCCAGCTGAGACACAGCTCTGGGACCTTCCCCATCCCATCCGGCCAGCCCCTCCTGAGGGACTCAGTCAGGAGTCACGGTCAATAGGAGCTTGCATCACTACAGAGCAGGGAATGTGGGACAGCGGGGAAGGACACAGTGGTTCTGGAACTGGGCTTCTATTTCTGCACCTCCTCTCCCTAGCAGGTGCACAGAGACCTGCCCCCTGGGAGGCTCTTCCTTATCTGCCTGGTGGAGTGGTTACCTTGTGATAATGACATCCGGTTCCGGCACTGCTTTGTAGTAGCAACAGCTCCCATTCCTGGAGGGCTTGCTCTGTGCGGCACCTGCTCCCTGTAGGTCTCCTCTCACTTTGTCCTCAAAACAACCAATGGCAGGGTGGGGCCCCATGTTACAGATGGGGAAACTGAGTCATAGGACAAAAGCCATGTTGTCCTGAGGGGCTTTTTTCCTCCAAGGATTAAATTCTCAACAAGCAGCTGGCATGCCCAACGTATGGCGAATGCTCATGGTGACAATGGCAACCCAAAACCCTAAAGTCATGAGAGAAAAAAAAAAAAATGGAGAGGGTCTGAGCAGGGCTGGGCAGTGGAGGAGGCCCCATGCTGGAACAATTAGGCTGGTGAGGGGCGTCTGGTGAGGCCATCTCAGCCTGGCTGCTGTCCCCAGCTCCCTGAGAGACCTGAGTCAGGATCTGGATGGCAGAGTGCAGCACAAGAGCCAGGAGATGCTGTCCTCAGAGGACACCATATCTGAGGATGTGTCTGAAGAAGCAGCCAAGAACGCCATCTTCAATGCTCAGATGCTCAAACTGGACCCCTACCTGCTCACCAGCACCACCTCGGACACCTCCAGAAGCTGGGAAGACCCCTGAACTCCTTGGGTGGAGCTAGGCAGCTGGGCCCAGGGGCTGTGGATGCCAGGCAGTAGTTGGAGGCCCTATCTGGCTTGGAGATTAGGGGGTCAGTCCAGGAACAGCCCCTGCTGCCTGGGGGAGCTGGAGATGGGATTCATACCCATTAAAGGTGCCATGTTGGTCTTGAGATGTCTCTGTCACTGCTGGTTGTGTCCCTTGGGGCTTCCAGGCCCTGCCCTGCCCTGCCATGCCCTTGACCAGAGGAAGCGCCCCATGAGCTCCTGAGCCAGCTTGGAACTTTCAGCAAGACTCTCGGGGACAGTGAGGGACTCAGGGTGGGGCAGACAGGATGGGCAAGGAAACTCATGTGGGTGCATATCCAGTGGGGCAATGAGGGCAGGGCTTGCTTGCAAACCTTTTATCCTGGCCACACAGGGCCTGGTTGCCTCCCCAGCTCCTCCATCACAGGCTGTGGTAGGAGTGGTGGGAGAAGTAATGATGAGGATGTTTTCCACCTGCTTTGAGAGCTGTCACGCTTGACCATGCCTGGGGTCAAGCTCAAGTTTGGGACCACACCAGGCTTGTGCCAACTCAGCCGGTGATCTGTGGCCCAGCCCCCAACCAGGGGTCAGCCCCGACACCTCTAATCACCGGGCCTAGCATGGAGTGCTCCCCTCCCTGCTAGGCCCAGGCAGGCACTCCTCCTCCCCGCTCCCTTTTGCTACATTTCCATGGACATAATGCAGGGCAGGGAAGTCAGCTGCTGTGGGCTCGTGGGTGGGGCCTATAGGGGCTGGCATCTCAGCGCTAAATCCCCACACACCGCTTTGTCAGACTACGGGCGCTCCCAAGCTCCAGGGTGCTGGGGATGGACCAGGCCCAAACCAGGAACTTCTTCCTGGGGGGTGCAGGGGCCCAAGCACCTGGGCCAGCTTCTGCTGCTTTCCGTGGGATGTGAGCAGGGATATGGCTCAAAAGTGGAGTAGCTGAGACATAAACCAGTGCCCATTTGGGATGACAGCCCCCCCCCAGCTGGTGATTGTTCCTGCAATGCTGCAATGCCAGATCCTCATGGGGTATTCTTTATTTTTTCTTTAATATTTTTATCTTTATTGGAAAGGCAGATATACAGAGAAAAAGATTTTCTGTCTGCTGGTTCATCATAACTGGGGCCAGCATTGTGGCCCGTCGAGTTCCCGTTGGATTCTGGGATGCTCCAGTTAGGATCAAGCTCCGTGTTAACGGACTTTGGAAGTCTGCACATGATGGCCCAAGCAAGTGGACTCTGTTAACTCCACATTCTGATGGAGTTCTTGGTTTCTGGTTTTGACCTGGTCCAGCCTCCACCGTTGTGGCCATTTGGAGAACTATCGAACAAATCAAAGAACTCTATCTCTCCATCACTCTGTCTTTCAAGTAAGTTTTTTTTTTTAAAGAAAATCAAGCTATTGTAGTTATTTGTTATTAGTAACTGGTGATGCAGAATCCCTCCCAGACGACTGAAGAGGAACCCTAGAGACATGGTGTGGGAGCAAAGGGCAGAATTTTTTTATTATTATTATTTTTTTATTGGAAAGGCGGATATACAGAGAGGAGAGACAGAGAGGAAGATCTTCCGTCCGATGATTCACTCCCCAAGTGAGCGCAACGGGCCGATACTATGCCGGTCTGAAGCCAGGAGCCTCTTCCGGGTCTCCCACGCGGGTGCAGGTTCCCAAGGCTTTGGGCTGTCCTTGACTGCTTTCCCGGGCCACAGGCAGGGAGCTGGAAGGGAAGCGGGGCTGCCGGGATAGAACCGGTGCCCATATGGGATCCCGGGCGTGCAAGGCGAGGACCTTTAACCACTTGCGCCACCGCGCCGGGCCCCCAGAATTTTTTTTAAGATTTATTTATTTTCTATTATAAAGCCAGATATACAGAGGGGAAGATCTTCCGTCTGCTGATTCACTCCCCACGTGAGCACTACAGCCGGTGCTGAGCCGATCTGAAGCCAGGAGCCAGGAACTTCTAGGTCTCCCACATGGGTGCAGGGTCCCAAGGCTCTGGGCCGTCCTCAACTGCTTTCCCAGGACACAAGCAGGGGCCAGTGCTGTGACCCAGTGCTAAAGCCACCTGCAGAGCTGGGATCCCATGTGTGGTCTGGTTTGTGTCCCAACTACATTTCCAAACCAACCCCCTGCTTGAGGCCTGGGAAGGCAGCCGAGGATGGGCCAAAGCCTTGGGACCCTGCACCTGCGTGGGAGACCCAGAAGAAGTGCTGGCTCCGGGCTCTGGATTGGTGTAGCTCTGGCTGTTGCGGCCACTTGGGGAGTGAAGTATTGGATAGAAGATCTTTCTCTCTTTCTCCTCCTTTCTGTATATCTGCCTTTCCAATACAAGTAAAATCTTAAAAGAAAAAAAATCAATTTTTAGAAAGATTTATTTATCTTTATTGGAAAGGCAGATAAACAGAGAAGAAGATCTTCTGTTCGATGTTACTCTCCCCAGTTGGCTGCAATGACTGGAGCTAAACCAATTCAAAGTCAGGAGGCAGGAACTTCTTCCGGGTCTCCCACATGGGTGCAGAGTCCCAAAGCTTTGGGCCGTACTTTACTGCTTTCCTAGGCCACAAGCAGGGAGCTGCATGGGAAGCAGGGCTGCCAGGATTGGAACTGGAGCTCTTATGGGATCCTGGTGCATTCAAGGCGAGGACTTTAGCCACTATGCTATCATGCCAGGCCCAAAAAATCGATCTTAAAAAAAAATGTATTCAGGGAGTGGCGTTGTGATAAGCCAATTAAACTATTTCTTAGAGAGTGCTGCTATGCGTCATGAGAGTCCTGATTTGTGTCCTAGATGCTCCGCTTGCAATCCAGCCTCTTACTAATGTGCCTGGAAAGGCAGTGGAGGCTGGCCCAGGTCCTTGAAACCCTGCACTCTGACGTAGCAACCCTGATAATTTTAGCCATTTAAGGAATATATGCAAAATCTCTCTGTGTCTATCACTTTGTTTTTAAAGTGTGTGTGCGTATGTGTGTGTGTGAGAGAGAGAGAGAGAGAGAATGAGATTCAGTAGAAGTCATGACAGACACGTGGAGAGCTCCCTGCAGCACAGCATGAGTGCAAAGTGCAGCGTTTGTGGTGTGGCACTTGGCAATGCGTGTGGCGTTGACACTTTCTCCGCTCTTTGACCCAGCAGTCCTGCTTCTAGGATTTTCCTGGAAGAGGCAAATCCTCCAAGCAGGAAAATAACACGCACAGGGAGGTTCACTGTGGCTTGGTGCTACTTTACAAGTCATCGCGAGAAGGGACAGCTAAGCCGAGGGAGTACAATTCGGGGTGAAGCTCCATGGGGACTGGCCCGAGGGCAAGTTCCCAGCCTCACACGGAGGAAACCTGCAGTTTGCAGGAGCAGCAAGTGAAGCAGCTGCTGGCAATGCTGATGTCTGTATCCTAGTGTTTCAAATCCCAGCACTCAAGTTGCAATCCAGCCCCCTACTAGTACCCCCAGCAAGGCAGCAATGGGATGGCCCAGTGTAGGATCCTGGTGTCATGCTGGCCCAGCCCAGCAGTTGCAGACATCTGGGGGGTAAACCAACAAAAGGAAGATCTGTCTCTCTCTTTCACTCTCTCTCTTTCACTCTCTCTGTCTCCCTCTCTCCCCATCTATGGCAACCTTTCAAATAAGGACCCAGCAGTACAATGACTCAATTTGTTAATCTTTTCCTTGCAAGCACCAGCATCCCATATGGGTGTCAGTTCATGTTCCAACTGCTCCACTTCCCATCCAGCTCCCTGCTTGTGGCATGAGAAAGCAGTCAAGCCCGGCCCAAAGCCTTGGGACCCTGTATCCACATGGGAGACCTGGAGGAGGCTCCAGGCTCCTGGCTCCTGCTTCGGATCAGTGCAGCTCTGGCTGTTGTGGCCACTTGGGGAGAATCAGGGAACGGAGGATCTACCTCTTTTTCTCTCCTTCTCTCTGTGTATCTGACTCTCCAATAAAAATAAAGAAAATCTTTTTTTTTTTTTAAAGAAGAAATAGAAGGGATGCTTAGAGTTCTCTGTCATAAGAGAATACTAATTAAGATCCCGATGAGAAGATGCTCCTGGTCTGCTTAAGCTGGAAAGCCTGCTGGGGGAGAGAGGAGACCTCTGGCACCGGGGTGTCCAGAAGTAACCCCCAGCTCCTG